TGATGGACGACGTCTAGTGTGTGGTGCGCTAGTAGCTGAAGTCGTGCCTATGTCATGGAGGCCGTCGTAGTGGTATTTCGGGTTGCCTGTGCGTGGACTGCGCTGTCGAGGAGGTGAACCAGCGCCCTCAAAGGCTGCTGCTGCTGCTGTATGATCCGACTAGGTATCGGAAGTATCTACGTCAGTTTCCAAAAGCAATACGGTAGTTCAGGGCAGAGAGGCAAAGAGCGTGTTTATATTGTCTACCCACCATGCTACGTATTGTTTACAGGGTCCAGCTATGTAAGCAGAGCGGTGGCGCTTGCGTCAATAAGATCTGGTACTGGGGGGTGTGCGATGGCGCGGTGCGGGGGAGTGTGTGGTGATGGGTGTGCGGGAAAAGGATGAATATAGACAGCCCGTGACGTTTTCGTGCGGATTCCTTGCATGCTGAAGCGATTACAAGCACACGTTGTACGACTCTAGAGGCTGAGCGGCACAAGGCTCGCAAAGCGTGTGGATGTCGTGGTACGCCTCAAGGCCTGCTGAATCTGTACCCTGGTGTGCGCCATAATCACGGGCGATGCGGGTATAGTTTGGAATGGGGAAGACAAAGAGAACGCATGTTGAACTGGAAGAAGCAACGACACACGAGGAATATTGTGCAGCCAGTCAGTCACCGCCTTGCGCATGCATGCGCAGTTAACGTTGGCAGAGCTGACCGGGTGTGCACCGGAAGTGCCGCGCGTGTACCCAATGATGTCCCGTTGAGCCCGTCAAGCGATCGTATACCCCACTATGTGGGCCCCCATCACCGCGTGCCCTCTCTTCCTCCACGCTTCCACAGTCTGTCTAATCCGTCGACCCGCATCGTGATGATGCATTTGCATGCCAAACTCTGTCCAGTGGTGAAGCATCTCGCTATTGTTTCGTGGGCGGTTCGTTAAAAAGCCCATGGTCCTCCGCTGCTCGGTCACTGCCACGTCAACGAGCTACTGCAACCCCGAACCAGGATTGTCGAGGTGAGCAACGTGCAGTTCTGCTATCTGGTTCACTCCACTTGCTCGCTCTCGCGTTTCGTATCTTGACTCTTCCCCGTGCTGGGTATCCTGGCAAAGATCAGGCTTGAGATTCTAGAAGTCAGGCTTACTCCACGCCAAGTTTCAACTTGTCAAGGCGAGTAGATTCGGAGACCGACGAACTCATGCATGACGTCTTTGGCGTTTCGACGGTATGTCGATTTTACGACAACAAAAATAGCTATGGGTCGAAGATTTGTCTAGTACTTTTGATGCACGTTGTGTGTGAATCGATGCGCAGCTGCTGATGGCAGTCCACGATGGAGCGAGAGATGACTCCCAAGGACAGAAATACCACGCCCATGTCCAACTCTTCCAGTGGATGTTTGATGCCGGTGCCCAAATCTTTCCTCTCCGACTCTTGTCGTTTGGGGGCTATAGATAAGATATTGAGTTGAGCAAGGAAACAGTGATAAAAGTATCTTTACCGCTCACGTCTTCGACATGCCAAACATGCCTTTGGCCACACACAACACTCGGCTCTCCTCCATACCCATCTCGTCGAATATGCTGACCCAAGCCCAGCTCATACGATGGCTGATGTTGAAACGAACCCCGCGATTTTTGACTGCCTGACAGGAGCTGAACTTACGATAAAGTTCCGTAGTAACATCATCCACCATAGTGCTGTACGCAAGCATTGTAGCCAAGAACAGGCGTAACGTCGACGCCACGAAAATGGAACGCGTATCCCGTTGATCTTGATCGACAAATCTTATTCTGAGAAGTTTCACTCATGCATCTATAGTATCGGACTTATTGCTATGCTAATTATACAGTAGAACAACCGTAAGACTGAACACTTCTGAAAGCAAGTAAAAGAGTGGCTGACTATAGAGTGTGATGTGCGCTAACGGCTGAATGAGAAGTTAGTATCCTAAGGAAGGTGGGTGTGGCATATAGGAGACGAGCGGGTGATTGATACCGGGTACGAGAGAATAACTGTGACACTCCCGTTCACCTAGCCGTCCCAAATAGCAACACAGAGATACATCTCCTTTGGCTTTTCGAACTGAATCAAACTAATAGATTCTGGGTATCTCACATTTCTACGTCTACATCGTCTACAAGCCTCACGACTCCTCGCTCACACTCCGGCTCACTTCCCTCGCAACAAAAGCATCAGGGTCGACCGGAATTGCCTTCAGGTCCACCTTGTGTGCATCTGCCCAAGCCCTTACCCTGGCTTTATTGATGACAGCGTCAGCACCTCCTTTCTTCTTCTGCTCCAACACGTCCATAGCCTGTAACGTCGCTATGATATCCTCGGGCACAATGTACGTCTTCTCGCGCAGGTCTTGCACTGTAAGTGTTTTCTTAGAAGGGCAAGCCAGGATCGCCCGAGCGAGCGTTTGCGACCAGTAATGTATGTATGCGATGCGACCGAGATCCGACAGCGCTGTAATAGCAGTGTTAGCAGAGGTACAACAGCTTGATACAACGTCGACCTACGTTTCTCGGGCCCACCCAGCCTCTCTTCCCGTCTACTCATCTCATAGCTCGCGCCCATGAGTATCTGCCCCAGTCCTTGTTTCTGCCACGGCGGAAACACCAGGATGCATGCGAGATTGTTGTTGTCCCAGCTCATCTTCTCTTTGCTGAAGAAGCCCACGACCTGCCCCTGCGCACCGACTCCACTTGCCTCTGCATCGTCGCCGAAACTGGTATTCGGTATCTCCGGTGTGGGGTTGTGCGCGACCAGGAGGTAGTATAGGAATGTTGTAACGTCGTAGAAGACGGATTTGGTATCGAGGAAGAGCTTGGCGAAGAGAGATAGATTTTGTGCGTAGAGTTTGTGCTTCTCGCCGTCGATTTCATATAGTGAGTAGTTATCTTTCGTGTAGACGTTGACGCCCGGTGGGGGTGTATTGCGCAGAGGACATGCTTTCTACCACTGATCAGCTTCCTAATCCAACCCTCACACCCGGTGCATATCCGTCCGAAAGCTTACCAGATGTCCAATAAACCCCACCAATTCTTTGCTATACTTGAAGCACCATTGGCACACATACAGCCGCTCTACGCGTCGGCCTACAAGCTCCTCCGGGTAGAAAGACGGGTACCAGGGCTGGATGAGCAGCGAGCCGAAGACGACTTCGAGGACGTTGGGCCCCGAGGGAGGTTTCTGCGATGGCTTCAAGGCAGGCGTGGAGGGCGTCGAGGTCATGGAGGCTACATCAGGGGCCATTGGGCTGGCACGGTGACGACGCGTCGAGGGGCCGCCGGCACATGCGTGTGGGGAAGGGAAGAGCTTGGGCCGGGTTGTTAGTTTCGGGTTAGCGCGACGCGAGGGCACGTGGGTGATGGGGATCTGCCGTGAACACAATGTTGGTTGGAACTGACCCGTTCGCCATCACACCTACAACCTTCAAAACCGACCCAAGTCCGACAGGTGCCACCGCGATCTTCTCTGAAATGGTTAGTATCACCATCATGATGAGCGAGTTATAACGGCATTTCCATCGTGCCCGTTCATTAGTCCGGGACCACCAAAGACGAGCGTAATCAAGTCATCACTCAAGCATCTCAACAGTGGAAGCACAAATTTGGCGGGTTCTCTGCGACTTTGACATGCATAAAGTATTTTCAAATTAGGTGCTCAATCATCTCCCCAACTCCGCTTTACTTCACTCTCACGAAAGCCTATTCCCCACCCTCCGGCTTCTAACACCTCTCATATCCAGTCCGTTCCAACATAGTCTTTGAAAGCCATGAACGCCATGGCTTCGTTCATATTCAATCTCCGTCTCTGTACTGCAACGACCTTTCTTAGGATGCTCACGACCTAGGACCTCTTCGTAGCCTCGAAACGGCAGTGTATGTTCGTTGCTGATAACGCCTGGCTTCAGCCAATTCAACCCAGCAAGAGGTCTTTGACGTCTGTCCCGTGTTGCGCTCCTCGTCTGAAGATCGTCAGTACCCATTACACACCTCAACCTCGTCGTGTTGCTCACCCGCTTCTACACACGTACGTTTCCCAGATCTCTGATGCCTTAATACACCCTCTCTCATGTAGTACCGAAATGCGATCCCGGCTACTGCGAGTAGTACGGTGAGGAATACGCTCAGGAGAGTGAATATGGCTTCCTTCGACCACCCGGTTGTGGTAGCGTGTACGCCTTGCGATACGGTATCTATCGAGTCTTATAAACACATCGCCGTATATTGGGGGATGAGAGTATGTTACTGTTGATTCCCATCATTGGGTTTGGTACTCCACAGTCGTTTTCAAGCTCCGAAACAATATCAAGTACTGTTTTACGATAGAAGCTCGCTGGGCTGACAGGTTTGCGAAGATGGAAGGCTCTGTTGCTGTCTTCCGAGATCAATTCATACACCAGCTTAATCCACCCTTATATTCCTGCCTACGCTAACTCAGCCTACCATTCTGTGCAACAATGTTCTATATGCGTAGTTTTGCAAGGATGACTGATGACCAAACAACATCATTGGTCGAGCTGGGTTGTCTGCGGCTCCATTGGCTGCACGCGTCAAGCGCTGCAGCTACCAGGGTCAATGCTCATCCGATCTTGGGTTAGGGTGGACGGGTGGTGTATCCGGCACAACGGTTCAGCCAATTTGTCTAGGGTTATGTTTGAGAGTGCGATCACGCGTTTGTTGACTGCTTGAACGGACGCCGAATACGCTTGACGCCCCAAGACTTCCCAAGAAAATTCCTGACATGATGTCAGGAATCTTCTAGCACCACAGCATGGGTCGATCTTCGTGGTGACTTAGATACAATAAACGTCGAGCTAAATGAGTAAAAGTTCAAGCTGGCTACCGAGCCACAAGAATAGCGGCAAGCGATCCAACATCGGCAGCAGCATGAAGCTCAGATTCGCAATGTACTATGGCAAGTACAGATTCCAAGTTCGAATAATCTTCGTATTCGATTCCTTAGGTATCCACTTCCGCCTCTTCTCCATCCCCATCCCCAGCCTACGAAGTACAGCTCTGCCTCCACCAAATCCCCGCAATACTAACATCCAAATTACACTGCTCCCCCGGAGGCACAATCCAGCACTGCAACGCATCATTCTGTGCCGGACTCTTAATCTTCACAACCACATCACACCTCAGATGGTTCACCATGCCCGCAAACGTGTCAGGCCCGTACCGACCGTCTTTGAAAGCGACCGTGAATTGCGCTTGGTTGTGCTCCGGGTCGTTGTGCCCGTTGGATTGCACGGCGATGTCGGGGCCGTTGGGGGCGGAGCAGCGGGAGGTTTGGTAACAGGCGAGGGTGGTTGTGGTGAAGGTGAGGAGGGTGAGAGTGAGGGGGAGGATTTTGAAGCGCATTTTGGGCTGGGTGAGGGTTAGTGGTGCGAGGAGGGAGGAGGGAGGAGGTGGGGCGTTGTTACCTTGTGGTTTTGGTTGAGAGGAAAGGCAAGTGTTGCGATTTTGCGGAGCGTAAGACGTTGTGATGTTGGTGTAAGAAGATGCTGGATCTGTTCGATGAGTTGAAAGAGATAGTCAAGTTAAGACTTATATACATAATGCTTGTGCTCGGTAAGCATACAAATCTGTATATAGATTGTACTAAGCGAGCAAAGCTTGCAGTGCAAAGTTTATTGATGACTTTACACATTCGTGTACGTTCGCCTCACCGGACGAACACAATTCTCCGCGACAGTGCACGATTGATCATCCGCCAATAGGCTTAACGAGAAGGAAAGTACGGTCTCATTTCGAGAGCTTATGTTGTACCTCACAAGGAGAAGAGGTGTAAGCATACCCGTGCCAGTCCGTACTAAGAACGAACTAGAATCCGGGGACATCTCCGGTCTTACACCCGGTGAAGCCGCTCCAACTCTACAAACGTTTGACTACCATGCCAACGCATACGGGAATGTGGGTTCATGTGGGTTCAAGTCCGACCGCTTTCCGGCATGTTTTGCGATGGTGAAAGTATATTGCGCACGGGGTAGAAGACGAGGTAGAGACTCGGGGTATGTCAATGTATACTATTTTATTAGCGTGAGCAACGGCGTGTACTTGTGTAAGCTCTGGTCTGACCGCCGCAAGGTTGTATTACACCGCTATGTCATGAAGGCGGACTACAGAGCCGAATGTCACTCCAGACAAAGTGTAGCAAGGCTTTTGCATCGAGCCGCTCCAATCGAGTATCTCCTGCAAGACCACTCGCCTCAGCTGCTTCGTAAGTCAATACTACTACACGCCATCAGCCGAATACCTCCACCACCATCCACCCCCCTTCTCCACCACCACCCTACCTAGGCGTAGCAGGCGGCGTCACAATCCCACCTCCGCCTCCACCCCCAAACACACCACCAACCAACCCACCACCCTCACCCCTCTCACACAGCGCCACATGAAAAGCCCTCAGCACATGCCTATTCTCCGAGAACTCCTCCCAAGCACTCTCATCCTCCAGTATAGCCGGCATGCGCAACCCCACACACTCGATGATAGCCCTGCGCAGTCCGCGGTCGTTCTCAGGACACTGCTCGTGGTAGATGCATGTAGCGAGGTCGACGATCATGAGGGGGTCGGTGATGAAGGGGAGGCGGTCGATGATGGCTTCGGCGGCGCGGCGCTTGATGGGGTTGAGGTTGTACTGTGTGAGTGGTTAGTTTGAAGACGAAGGATAGTGGAGGGGAGAGGGGAAGAGCAGTCACCTTATCCGCAGCAATGAACAGATCCAAAAGCTGATTCATCATAAGCTCCTTCTCAATCTCCATTCTCAGCGCGAAATTCGTGAAGATGGAACCAGTAGTCGGGTTGTAAACACCGTACATCTCATCCAGAAGCGTGGATACGACTTGAGCCGATTCTGGGAGTTCGATGGATTGTTTTGCGGTCTCTGAGAAGCCGCCGCTGCATACGGCTCTGAAGTAGTATGACTCTTTGCATACTTTCACGCGATGGACGGCGAAATGACTGCCACCTGCGAAAACGGTGAAGTCTGACCATTCGCCTGTTTTACGGAGGCGAGGCCACTCGGAAGAGTCGGCGGGAACGGCCATCCAAGGTTGTGGAGCGCGGCTCGTGAAACCTTGTTGTTCCATGTCGAAGTCGGGCTTGACGAATGCGACTTTCCTACCGCCATTTTCAGTCTTAGACACGATATCGAATGTGGGACGGTGCGCATACTGTGGCACTTCGTAGCTGTAGAAGAAATGATTCCCAGCTGCCGTCGCAATATCCTCCAGCACATCTAGGAAACTACGAGCTTGGTCCGGTGACGCAAACTCAAGATCAACTTGAAGGTGTTGGAAGAGGATTGACACTTTCTTGCTCTTGTCTCGCCAGGCTGCTGCACGTGCGGTTTTAGCTTGGAAATAGATTGGCTCGTTGGTTTCGGGGAAGCGGAGGACGAATGCGATGCTAGCAGATGTGTATGCGACGAAGCCAAACTCAGCGTTGGCGCGATCGAGGAACAGGCTTGTAGGGCCAGTGGTTTTCTGCTCCTTGCCAATGGTGAACGACCGGAGCATCCAGAAAACTGACCTGGAGTCTTCGGTGGGGGGTTTGGGGAAGGCAGGCATGGTGATGCGGAATGTTGGAGGTTGTGGGAGAGACGCGGCGATATATGGAATAAAGGGTCGTTGGGGTAAGGAAGGTGTTAGTGAGGTACAAGATCGATAAAGAGAGTCAAGTTTGGCGCGAATTGTTTCCAGTAGCAGCTTCGTGGTGATGAGGATAGCGGTATTGTTAGCGGTGAGCAGTGAGCGATGAGCGGAGATTGTCGCGATGGCATCACAAACAGGAGCGTACGGGTCTGCCCAATCGGCTTACTCGATTGAGCCACTATTCGTTAGTTCAGCGTGATGATGAGAGATGAAGAGTTGTATATCAATTGCGGCCATTGGGAGGCGCAGGATGAAATCGATTATTATATTGCGACTCGGTGCTATCAAAGCCGTGGGCAAAGCCAGACCCTACAATCAGTTCCTTTGATCATTTGAATCCGACACTCCGTGCCAGAGGCTATGCCGTGATATGTATCGCGCCCTTTAACGCCGATGGCCCAGATGTTGTACAGTAAATTCGGGAGAAGATCGTTGATATCGCATAACGCCGAGCTTGAGAAAGAGCTCACCAGGTTGTCGCGACCTGCGGGTATTCCTTCTTGCTGATCTTCAGGTCGTCATAGACAGAGTCGTCACCTAAGACTTGATTAGTACACATCACACTTGCCATCAACTAAAAACGTACCGTGAAGATGCTCGACGCGCAGCTCGTCCTCATGTTCAAGCTTCTCAATTTCCTCTTGTGGAGTTTCTTTGTCATGCTTCTGGTCCTTGGTAGTAGGCTCGACGCCGCTCTCCATCTTCTCGCCGATGAGCAGGATCTGGCAATACTCATAGTCGAGGTACTTCGGCTTGACTTCGACCCAAGCCAGTCCGCGGAACTCTTCGATGAACCTGGTAATGGTCAGTCATGAACAGGCAAATACATCGAGATCACTTACTCTTTGGGAAAGTCGGGCTTCTGAGGAAGCTGGGCGGAAGCCGGTCCGCTGCGCTCAGGGTTCTTGACGCTCATGACGAAGCTGCCCTGGTCTTTGATACCCAGATCTTCCTGAACCTCTCCAAGCTCGGAAGGTATGGTGGTAGAGTATACCAGATGGCACGTCCGGTCTTCAGTACGCGTAATTGCATATACGCCCTCCGCTACAGGCGCCACAGGCTCAGTGCGTCGGCTGCCTTGTGTCTTCGTCTCGTACTCGTCCGCGCCAAAGAAGCTCTCCTTCAGCTCTTTGATGGAAGTGTTCGCCTTTTCGACAAATGCCATGAATTTATCGTTATGCGACTTGGGGAAGACTTTCTTGGGCAGCGCAAACAGTCGGATGTTGTTGTCGTCGGCAAGAGCGCCGTCGCCAAGCTTGGCTCCGGATGGCATAGGTCGGAGGACGAAGAAGGTGCGTTGAAGGTCGCCGACGCTTTCGGATTCCTCGACGCCGACGCGGTTGCGGGTGAAGAAGTAGATGACGCCCTTCTCGAGGATGTTGGATGGCATTTGCTTTGCCCGCTGGGAGGACTCCTCGATTGCGCCTTCACCGTTTGTACCAGTCTCCTTTGTCGCGTTATCCGCTTTGTCTTCGCTCTTCTCTTCCTGTGTAGTCTCTTCGGCCTTGGGGGCGGCGTCGGTGTTTTGTTCCGCCTGGTCGTCGGTAGTCTCCATATCGGTTGATGCAGGCTTGTCATCATCGCCATTGGCCAATGCCGTCGCATCGCTCGCATCGACGAGGTCTTCCGCGGCCTTCTTCTCGGCTTCCTCTACATCTTTGGAGTCTTGACCCTCATCCGAGGCGTCCTTCATCTCGCTGTCAGACTCCTTGCTGGTGTCCATTGTCTCCTCGATAGTAGCTTGCTTCTTGGACGCCTTGCGATCGCGCTTGGGAGACGGCTCGACTTCGGGCTTGCGTTTGGTGCCGGCTGCGACATCGTTACCCTTTGCTGGGCTGGAGCCACCGTCGTTGCTGCGTGCAGAGGAGCGTGTTCCTGCCATTGTGGATGCAGTGAGATCAATTGAGTGAATTGGTGTAGATTATTGAAGATATGAGTGAAAGGATGAGAGAAGGATGGGAGACAAAGCAAAGGAGTAATGAAGGGGGCGGATGTTTGCGCGCGCTGGTGGTTTGTGGCAGGCGCGTCGCGTGAAATGGTGACGTCAATGGCAGTCATTAGCACATCGACGCGTCAGGAAGGCACGTGCAGCATTGGACCATCAGACGGAAGCCGCGAGCGGTCATGAGCGAGGAGTTGAGAGCGCGTGAGATAGCGTCGCGCATTCACGCGCTTGATGTAGCAAACCTATCGAAGCTGATATACAACGCCTTCGTATCGTACATCCTCTCATCGAGCGCACCCCGGTCCACGTAGACGAAGCCACAACTAGGTTTGCTTATCCTTGGTCTTCAGAAAGGCGTGAATACCATCGGCGATGCCCTCCGGACTTGGCTTCTCTGCGCATACATCAGGAGTAAAGCCAAACTCCTGCTTCAAAAAATCGCGCGTGGTCGGACCGATGGTGCATATCAGGATATCTCTCTGATCAGCAGTAGCCTTGACTCTCCCAGTCTCCATATCCAGAAGACCCAGGCTCTCGAGCATGGCCTGACATCCACTTGGAGAGAATACAACGACCCACTGCCGTCTCGAGCCCTGATCCGCGTTTTTCCGCCAGATGGTCGAGAAATCCTCCTTGAAAGACTGCATCTCTCCAGTCTCGTATATAACCAACTCATCTACTCTTGCCCTCTCTTTTGGATCCAGCTCTTCTGACTGCAGGGTCTTTGGTATTATATCCCTCCTCTTATCACCGACCATGAACAGTACGGGTGGATTCGCAACACCTGGATAAAGGGCGTTGTAATGCTTCAAGATAAAGCCAGCGAGAGCTTCGCCGTTGCCGGTTTCTTCTCCCAGGATTGGACACTTGAGACCCAGTGATCGCAGTCCGCGAGCTGTAGCTGGGCCTACTACGTACAGCGGCAGGCTCTCTGGCAGCAGGTCGTCGATGTCGAGGGCGCCTTCTCTGCGGATATCCTCGACAACCTCGCTGAAGGCTTCGACTGCACGCTGCGAGGTGAAAATCAGCGCACCATATGTCGCGAGACCCTGCTGCGCTTGTGGCACGAAGCCGCGATTGGTGACATGTTGGCGCACCTCACGCAGGGCATCTCGCTTGAACCTGTGCTCCAGGACGGGCACGAAGACGGGCGCATAGCTGCCGTTGTCGAGTTCAAGGAACAGCTCTTCGTACGTGTCTTTGGGCACTGACTTGGTCTTGAGCAGCAGAATGGGGATGCTGCCCCGCGATTGTTCCGCCATAGCCGTGGTTTGGTGTGTGCGTGGTCGAGGCCCCGAGTGAAGGGTCAAGACTGCGGGCGGCACACTAGGCCGCCCGCTAAACATCGGGAAAAGTTGCCAGCATCCGTGGTTCACTCGAGACCCTCGAATTTAATAGTTGTCCTCCCACCGCCTGCACGCCTCGCCTGCACATTCACGACCCGGCGGTCTACCCAGCTCTCGCAGACCCCTCTCCCCCGCTGCAACGCCCAGTCAGCCCTCAACCCAATTGACTGCACAGCAAACATGGCCGACGTCGCAACTCCACCCGCCGCCCAGGCCTCGACCAACGGCGCTGCTGCCCCTCCGGCGAAGCAGCAGGTTGTCAAGCCCGACAAGCCCGACGAGGACAAGTACAAGGAGGAGCTCGCCAAGCTGGAGAAGGAGCACGCCGCCGCCCAGGAGAAGCTGGTGAGTACATGGCCCCGTGTGGTGCGCGCAGTCGCACGGCCACGAGCTGACGGGTGGCTGCATCGCACACCACCACTCAATCCGGGAAAATTACTAACGACGGCCAGAACGCGTGCAAGGCCAAGCTCGACCTCGCCAAGCCCAACAACAAGGACTCGCCCAACGCGAAGCGCCAGCAGGAGCTCAAGACGGAGCTCAACGCCATCCGCTCCACCCAGCAGGGCAACAAGTCCGGCCGCAACTCCATCTTCGAGAAGATCAAGAAGCTCGACGAGCAGCTTAAGCAGCAGCTCAACGAGCTCAAGACGGCCAAGGGCAAGTCCAACTACAAGTCGGCCGAGGATGTGGACCAGGAGATTGCCCGTCTGCAGAAGCAGGTTGACGGCGGCATGATGAAGCTCGTCGACGAGAAGAAGGCCCTGGCCGAGATCAGCGCCCTCAACAAGGCCAAGAAGAACTTCTCCGGCTTCGACTCGCAGCAGAAGAAGATCGACGACATCAAGGCCCAGATCGCCGAGCAGAAGAAGTTGCTGGACGACCCGGAGAACAAGGCCCTCTCCGAGAAGTACACCAAGCTCCAGACCGAGCTCGACGGACTCAAGGCTGAACAAGACGAGGCCTTCAAGAACCTGAGGTCGCTCCGCGAGGAGACCGACAAGGCGCGCGCAGTGCAGCAGGAGAAGTACCAGGCCCGCAAGGAGCTCAAGGACAACTACTTCCAGCAGCTCCGCGCTTTCAAGAACTACGAGTTTGAGGCGCGCAAGATCCGCAACGAGAAGAGGCGCCTCGAGCAGCTCCAGTACGTCGCCGGCAAGCGCAAGGAGACTGCCTCCAAGCGTCTCGAGGAAGCGAGCGCACCCGCCTACGGCGACGAGATCATTGCCTGCGAGGGCTTGATCCGCCACTTCGACCCCTCCGCCCTCCCTGCGAAGGAGACCACCGCCGCTAGCAAGTTCGCCGCCTCCGCCCAGCGCACCGTCGACGACTCGGGCCTCAAGGGTACCCGCATATCGAAGAAGGACACCGAGGAGGAGAGCTACATGGCCGGTACTGGTGGCAAGAAGGGAAAGAAGGGCAAGAAGGGCGGCGCCGCTGCTAGCAAGTTCAACTTGAACATTGGTATTATCGAGGAGCTCGCCAAGGTCGGCGTCGACCCCCCATCAAGCCAGGAGGAAGTCCCTGCCACCGTCGAGAAGCTCCAGGCCAAGCTTGCCCACTGGAAAGAGGACCAGGACCGCAAGACCAAGGAGGTGAGTGATTCTACATACCACTGCGAGGAT